ATCTTACTGATGAAGGATATCTAACATTTGTTCATGATTTTATTTTTTTTTGGTGATGTTGTACCCTTTAAGACTTGTTATATATTATATTTTGTAGTGTACTGTATCATAATTATATGATCCATCGCCCCGTAAGATTTATCGTTGGCTATTATTCAGTCATTTAATATATATTATATTCGAAATTTTGGTAAGTATACCTCACCGATTTTAGAACTAAAGAGGGACGAAAGATACCAGAGGGACAGTCAAACTCACAGATCGAAAACAAACTGACAACGCGATGACCAAAAATAAACATTTATCTGAAAATGAGGCTTATTGGTAAAAAAATGTCCAAATTAAAAAAAGGAACAGACAGCCAAATCTCATCAAAAGGGAGAAAAGATGTGAAAAATACCAAAGAGAGAATCAAATCAGAAGGACCGAAAAGAGAGACAAAAGCATGGCAAAAATTGAAAAACGACGAAACGAAACAACAACGTACAGAACATTACAATTTCAAACTACACTGACCTTTATTTTGGATACAGAATACTAAGAAATTTATCAATTCATTTCAAATTGTCTCGTAAGAAGATGGGAACAGAACATCAAAGTGATTTTTTGATGATATCTTTTAAATTATATACCTTTTAGTGTAGGACATTCCGGATGCAGTTGTTTTGAGTTTGAGATCGGTGGCCACAAAAATATACCAACTACCTTCGGACTTTTATTCAGTTTGTGAGTTAATCGCCCCGGTTTACACAATAACCTCTAGAAAAAAATGTGTTTAATCCTTATAATTCTTAAGGCAAGCATTCTCGATTTTTAATTAACATATGTTTTTGTTTTATGGCTACTATTTACCATCAAATGCACAATTGACATGTCGTAACTGAGGAGTTAGCCGGCATATTGACTTTATGAAGTCCATAAATGCTCGATAAATGCAACAAAATCTAAAATGAAATAGCACCTCTCTCAAAAAATTTCATTTTCCAAAATTGTGAAGCATACAAGTAACGGAATAATCTTCAGCTTGAAAGTTGTCATTTGTATGACGTCATTCTGTGCCATGAAGTTAGTTCGCCAATATCATTCATGAAATTTCGGGGAGTTTTAATTAATTTTAATTTTATACATTTTTAAAGCTTTAGTGTATTAATTCGTTTTGTTATATATGCATTAGAATATATAGAAACAACAGTTATGTAGGGCGGTAACAAAAAGATAAATTAGTATAAAAACAGAAGATGTGGTTTGATTGCCAATGAGAAAACTCTTCACAAGAGACCAAATGACACAGAAATTAACAACTCTAGGTCCCCGTACGGCCTTCAACAACGAGCAAACCCCATACCGCATAGTCAGCTATAAAAGGCCATGAAATGACAAATGTAAAACAATTCAAAGGAGAAAACTAACGGCCTAATTACTATACTATATATAAAAATATTAATTTTCGCGAACCATTTAGGTCACAGAAATTCCAAAATATGGCATCAGTAAGGAGAGTTGTACAAATAATGTGAATACACAGAACCCCGATCCAATTTATCTTCTGCTAAAAGCATTCATCATTTTCTGTTTTGTATGTACTAACAACATTCTATTTTTTCTATAATTTCGATTAAAATATTCTAAAACCTGCAGTTAAAATAGGTCACATGCCCCAAATAAACATTCCCCGATTATTTGAACTACTGTGGCCTCGATGTAAAGCAACGCAAGCCTCGATGCAAAGAACACGCTTCCCGAAGGTAAGGAGAGTTATACAAATAATATGAATACACAGAACCCCGATCCAATTCATCTTTTGCTTAAAGTGTTTATCATCTTCTGTTTTGTATCTACTAACAACAATTCATTTTTCTATAATTCCGTTTTAAATATGCCAAAACCTGCAGTGAAAATAGAGGTATGTCCCAACTTAACATTCCCCGATTGGTTGAACTGCTGTGGCCTCGATGTAAAGCAACGCAAACCTCGATGCCAAGCACACACTAAATTTTCCGTTAATACCCAAAAATGTCCGTCAATATGTTGACCTTCGACCCCTGGATTTAACCGATTCTCAAACAGAGATGTTCTTGCGCTAAAATGTAATTCTAAGTGAAGTATACTGGTAAAGTAAAATTCTAATCTTTTACAGAAATACATACACATTTTATCATTAATATTTTGTCATGCTTCTGTATATTAACTTTTATTTCCGCTGAGCTATAGTTAAATTTAATGCTATACAAATTTTGTTACGTCAAGTTTTAGGAGTAAGAATATTTCGCGCCAAAACAAGAAAATAACCTGCAACATTAAACTATTTTATCATCATGTTTGTGACATTTCAAATAGAAAAAAGCCTTTGGTATCAGCAATTGTGGTAAGTATTACTTATTATTGTTAAGGTTCTCCAGATCTGGTTCTCTTGATCTTCTTGACGGTCAATTTAATCCCATTTATCAATTATTTCCAATGACACTTTTTTTTTACAGAAATGTCAACCCAGTCGATTTGTGTCATCAAGGAATTGTATATTTAAAAGGAATGGAAACGCGGCTCGAGATCAATCGGGATACCCGCAGAGCACCTGCAGAGCTATAATCCATGTCTGACTCGGTCGGAAGTATGATGAATAATATAAAGAATCATGACGGTGGTCCATTTCCTGTCATATAGATCGGTCTTTTAAATTCACGGGGTCATCTTGCTTGAGAAGATATAAGAGAGAGAGAAACCCAAAATCAAGAATAAAATTCCATTCCGTGAATAGTTGAGGCCTTATGTATCATTTTAATGCCTCATCGAACATACGTTTGTAATATTTTAGTATGAAAATTCTTATTAAAATAGACCTCGGTCTTGAAACTTGAGTGAGTTTCATCCGGATTACAAAACAAAAAATACAGTGTTTTGATTTTTTTTCTAAAAGCTCGGCAACTACGAAGTGCAAAACAAAATAGTTGATATCATTATGAAGCTGAAACCTTATTCTAAGTTTTTTTAAGTTTCTGGTCACATTTCTGACTTTTCTACGATTTTTCGAAATTTCAGTTTTGAATTTCATTATTCTGTCAAAACACGTCTTTCAATCTGGGAGTGTAATACGTTTTCTTCTAAATATTGGAAAGTAGAAAGAATAAAGTGAGAAAACGAGATATCATTTTAAAGAAGGAATATTTTCCTACAGTTTGGTATAAATTACGAATGCTAAATGATATTGGTACAATGTAAATGATTTTATTTCGAAACATGTTGAAAATTTTAAGTAGTTCGTCAATAAATACACCAACACGCCGTATTCTGGAAAGGGTTAAATAACTACTTGAAATAGATGTGACATTGACATACAATTTAAAAGCTTAGTCTTTTTTCTATCACATAGTGTTGGTTTTATGAAAATGGTGATAAAAACGAATTTGCTATGGTTTTTCAAAATCCCATGTTTATAGTTCACATTGACGCCATTTTAATCAGTCAAGTTCCACACCGACGAAGTCGGAAATTACAGGCAAGAAATGTATATAAGACTTCCTTTTTTTCTAGAAGAGCAGTAGTCTAGAGGTCGCAAAATATTCCTTCGGTGTTAAAATAAATAATATGCGAATGTCGGAAAGTTTTAACTGTTTCTAATTAAAAAAAATTATTGCACCACGGCATAATTTAGCATTTATCAACAGGTGAGCTCGGCGTGATTTCTTTTTGACACCTTAAATCAGGGACAGCCTATAGTTAGTAAACACTGTTCCTGCTTAAATATATATACGACAAAAATTAGCTTATCAATGATACATGATAGATTATACCTGCAAATTGGATATCTCATATCGGTGTTTATTATCAGTAACACCTACAAAAATGTATTATCTAAGTTCTTTTATCTAGACAAAATACTACATCTGTTCACGTACTTCTTCCTTTATACTTTTCTATACCAGTCATATTCCAAAATTAAAAAGTATTTTTTTAACTTTTTGCATTACCTTAAATCTTTTTAAAAACTCGTATAATGTCAGATTTCATCTATTAATTGATCTTAATTGTTGCATACCTTCGTGAAATATCAAGAGGACGTACAAGAAATAAATGTTTTTCAGAAGTAACTTCGTTTAAGGTTGTATTATTTATTTCATTTAAGGAATTGTATATCTAAATAGACAATTTCTTTTTTCATTTCATGATTAAATGACCAAGTTCGATAACTACTGCCAGATAAGTAATGAGCCAGTTAGAGCAACGGGATGTAATTAAGGTTCCGCTAAAGTCAAATTTTTTTTTCATATGAGGCATTATATTAAATGTGTTATTTCTAAGCTAGTTCTTACACTTGTGTCCTTATATTAAGTCCATACATTAACACCAATATGAAGTTACTTGTAATGAAAGGATTTTGGAAAATTTAAAAAAAACAAAATACGTAATTCTGATTTTAAAAGGCGAAAATTGGACTTTCCAAGACACATTTTTCCAATAAATCCAGTTCTCATAAATAACACTTTTCCTTGCCCAGGATCGTACAATGTATGGTTGAAGTTTGTATGAAGTACAAGCTAGCATTTAAAATGCATGTCAATTATCTGTTAAACAGTTCTACTCAATTGTTTGACTGCTGTACAAAAAATAAAGGGCGCTATTTTTAAATTTCAATGTGGCGTTGGATTTCCAGCATGCATTAGAAATCCCTAGCTTTGATCCCCCTTTATTATGACTTTTCTTAAATTTGATATTGTATTGCGTGTCCATAACATTTATTTGTTAAATGCATTTACCTTTTTTTACCTTAAAATCAACATTTTATTTACAGTTGTCCATACCTTTGGAAACCGAAAGTAGAAGTTAAAATTAATCCGCTGTTTCGAATTAAAGAAAACACTATAATATTGAAATGTTTAATAATACAACATTGCTTTTGATACGAAGAAGTTTATTTTAATATTAAATGCATAGTTATTAAATGATTTACATAATATTTAACACTTAACTCTTATACGAAAGCATTAACTATTTCAGATAACTTATATCCGGTTCGGAGAAAAATGGTTGATCAAAGATCACGAAGACGTTAACAAACAGTTTTAATACTTTTTATGGACAATCGGTGAATATTTATAGGTAAGATTATGTGTCATGTCATTTCTATATATAAACCCCAAACAAATAACATAATTAATGATCGATCGGAGGCTGTTTGTAAGTACAAGGGATAAAAATCAACTATGTTTGTTGAATGATTTTCTCTGCACATATGCATTTCCGGTAGGTAATATTTCAATAATTACTAATTTTATTTTGAAAAATAATGATTTTGAGGCACATATATATAGGTAAGAATGATATACTTTGACAGGCAAGTAAAAATTATAAGTTTCATTAGAGGAACAAATAAAACAAAAATCTAAGGAAAGCAAAAGGAAACACTGAAAGGGAAACAGATTGAATTGCAACAATATATATATATATGAAGTAAAATGGGGAGCAAATACAAGAAAGGTCGCATTTTTGGTAGAGGTGTAGGGAGACACAGAACATTTAAAAGAGTAAAACATTTGGGTAGACCAGTTTATGAAATTAAAAGGCAGAGAAACCAAAGAAAACACATTTTGAAGTTGAAAATACGCAAAAAAACCAAACATTTCAATAACCAACCACTGTATGGAAACAAAGAAGTTTATACAACATTCTCAACTGGTTGTGACTTGAAGCTAAAGATTCGAAAAGTAAAAAACAACTTGCCAATTGCAAAGGGTTATCGGGTTATGAATTTAGACTGTCTACAAGTACACATATCTGATACAACTTTGCATGTATGTTTATGTGCCGGTGCAATAAACTTGGCTAAGGAAGGGAAGACACCAATTAAGTTAGAGACAGAAGTGCGTTCGCTGGGTTTGGCTACTGTTATGTTGGCTCAGTGCATAGGATGTTTACAGAAATTTAAGCTTGAAAGCAGTCCAAAGGTCCCAGGATCTAAAAGATATGACATTAATGTACGTGCAGTTTGGGGCAGTATGGTGACCGGCAATGGCCCATCTCACCTTAATGCGTTTTTAGCAACTCTAAATTCCCCAGGGTTATCGCAGCCGTCTTTTAGCGCAATCGAAACAGAAATAGGCAATTGGTGGCACAGCGTTCTAGATAAAGAGATGATGATTGCAGGCCAAGAAGAGAGGCGTCTAGCTATTGAAAGAAATGATTTCCATGAAGAAATTCCGGCAATTACAGTTATAGCAGATGGTGGGTGGTCTAAAAGAACACATAAACATTCGTACAATGCAGCTGGTGGTGTAGCTATAATTATTGGCAAAGAAACAAAAATATTATTACACATTGGAGTTCGAAACAAATATTGCTACATTTATAACAAAAATGATAGTACACCTCATTCTTGCTTCAAAAATTGGGATCTAGACAGTCAGTCGATGGAGGGTGACATAATATTGGAAGGGTTTCGTGAGGCCGAAAACAGACACGGACTTAGATATATGAGACTGGTAGGGGATGGGGATTCCTCTGTTTTTGCTAGAATCAGAGAGGAAGTACCAGGTTGGGGACGGTCTGTTTCAAAAGAGGAGTGTGCAAATCACCTTTGTAAATGTTCTAGATCAAACCTAGAAAAATTGGTAACAGATAATCCACTCTATAAAGGAAAACATCACTTGACAAAAAATACTCGAGTTCGACTTGTAAGTGCACTTAGATGTGCGATACGTGTCCGCTCCAGAGAACTTAAGGACAAAAAAAATGATAAATATAATGCCATGAGAAAACTAACACATGACATAAAGAATTCTCTTCACCATGTTTTTGGCAACCATAGCCAATGTTCTGATTTTTGTCGGGCAAAAAATCAGCAGCTCCAAACTACAAATGAGGATAATACATCTCTACAAATATCTACCAACACATCTGAATTAGGTATTGAAGAACAGTTAATTGACCAACAGATAAATTACTGGAGTGAGGGGGCATCTATTTCAGCGCAGGAACAGGCTCGCTTTGGTACCACTATAGCATACAATAATGTGGAGCAGCACATCATAAAAGATGTAACAAACCTTTTATGCAGGATTGCTGAAAAATCCGATCGACTTATAAACAACTCCACAACCAATCTCGCAGAAAGCTGGATGCATATCCGAACCAAGTTTGATGGGGGCAAGGTACACAACCTCTGCAATCGAGGATCTTGGCATGCTCGTTGCTATGGTGGGGCTCTACGAATGAATTTAAGACCACAGTGGTCTTGTAAGGTTTGGGAGTCAAGTACTGGTACTGAGCCTGGACATCTTTTCCGGAAATTGTATGCTCGTCATGAACAGACATTGGCCAATTCGATCAGGCACAAGTCTAAACCTAATATTCAACAGGTTCGATGGAAGAAAAAGATGTCCTGTCTCAAAACAAGCACCTCCAAGAAAGCTCGCAAAGCTTATGGCCCAGAAGCCATAGATGTTACTGATGACGTTTCTTCTGATAATCTCATAAAACTGAAACAAGACTATTTAAACCTTCATATTCACCTTTCGGAACAACAACTCTTAAACATAACAAATTTGACAATTTTACAATCACAATCTGGTCTTTGGCATTCTGAGAGAAAAAAAAAGAATTACAGCAACTAATTTTGGATCTATTGTTAAACGAAACCCGTCACTTCTAACAGCTAAATTTATCCGTAATATTCTATACTCTACATTTACTGGAAATCGTCACACCAGAAAAGGTATTCTTGAAGAAGATACAACTATTGAAGAATATAAATTGAAAAAAGCTGAGGAATCCGAAAATGTTTGTGTTGAGCGCAGTCGACTTGTTATACATCCAACTCAAGCATTCTTGGCTGGAAGTCCAGATGGTTTAGTTTCAACATCTAAAGGAAAATCTGGTTTAATTGAAATTGAAAATTTGTTACATTCCAAACTTATAAATCTGTGGCAAGCTTCGGAAAACAAAAACTTTTGTCTCAAAAATCTGAATGGAAAACTGGAACTTAAAGAAAATCACATATATTTTTATCAATGCCATGGTCTTATCAACATTTGTAACAGAGAATGGATCGATTTTGTAGTTAGAACTTTAAATCCTCATCAACTTTTTATTCAGCGAATTTATCGTAATATTGATTTGTGGGAAAACACCATGTTGCCAAAACTGGAAGCATTCTACAACAAAGTGCTACTTCCAGAGTTAGCAAGTCCTCGAGAAGGAAAAAGCCCAGGCATTTGAGAACCTGGAATATGGATAAGTTGTTATAAATACAATATTGTCTGGAATGAGGTTAAGAGAATACAGATGAATGGAACAAAACTAAACAAAAAACAGGCCAATAGAAAAAATTGGATGATAATGTACAGTAAGAATAGAGAAAAATCACCTAAATTATTGTATATGAAAATGCTTGATATATCCCCATTCAGACCCCCTGACATGAAGTATGGTAACCCTTAGTAAAATACGTTTGATATACATGTACAGCAGTAAGTATAGACACAGTGTATAAAGCTACTTTTTTTCAATCAGATGCCTTCCATCGCCTTATATGAGTGTAAGTTGAAAATATGTATGATTTTCATGTTGAATTTCAATTGAAATTCATACTGGTATCATTAAACAATTATGTTCATGCTATTACGTGTACAAATGTATGTTAAATAAAAATTTAATTTATATTAATATGACAGACATCAAATAATGCTATATAGACTAAGAGATAATGTGTTTACTGGCATATTAAGCATTATATATTTGATTTGTTGGTGTTTAAACTGATCATGAAAGATAAATTGTCTTGTATCATATATGAATACATGTATTTAAAAGAACTACTTGGTATACATGGTATATGTCAATGTCAGTATGGCAAATAAAAATTATTTGTATTTAATCCTTCTACAAATTAAATGGTAATTGCTTGTGAATATTGCATAAGAGCTTATACAAAGATATATGTATATATTACAGGTATATATATATTTGATCTTTGTATTTATATATATATATATATATATATATATATATAATAGGCGGTGTTGTTGTAAAAGAAAAGTGAGAAATAAACAGCACATGATCCAGTGCCCCTCTTGGAGCAAATTAAGAATCAGATGTACTCTAACTAAAGCTTCAACACTTTTTGCAGTGCTTTTCAATATTGTCTTCAAATATGTTATATATTTTTTTGGCAAATTGTAATGAAAACTGACACCGTTTTAATACTAAATATTTCATTTACAGTATACTGCATCATTACAATCAAAGCGACCTAGAAGAAAAAGAAGTAAAAGCTCTACAGAATCAGTTAATGCAAGATCTAAGAAACGAGTATCTGAATCATCCAGCTCATCTGACTCTGATATAGTTGACACTGAACTTCAAAGACCTGCTCCACTTCGCAATAGGTAACTTTATCATTATGTTTGAATATAATATATTTAATATAAACATTAAAAAGCATGATTTATTATATGCCATAAAAGATTTATATAAGTTGTTTACAAAACACATTATTTGCTAAAAACAATTGTTTATAACTGTAGATAAACTTTTTGTAAAACATTTCAATGAAAATGTATAGAACATTACCATTTATATAAAAAAGCTAAATAGTAAGGTCATATAACCATGGAAACAATGAAGAATGATTAAAATGAGAATTGAAGCTTGCATTAATGAAACAGCAATTCAACAGCACAACATAAACACCAGCATAAACAACTTTAGGTTTTTTTTTATTTTTTAAATCAATGATATTATTTAAAGTCAATAAAATTGAGAATGGAAATGGGGAATGTGTCAAGAGAGACAACAACCCGACCATAGAACAGACAACAGCAGAAGGTATCCAACAGGTCTTCAATGCAGCGAGAAATTCCCGCACCTGGAGGCGTCCTTCAGCTGGCCCCTAAACAAATATATATACTAGTTCAGTGATAATGAACGCCATACTAAACTCCAAATTGTACACAAGAAACTAAAATTAAAAATAATACAAGACTTACAAAGGCCAGAGGCTCTTGACTTGGGACAGGCGCAAAAATGCGGCGGGGTTAAACATGTTTATGAGATCTCAACCCTCCCCCTATACCTCTAGCCAATGTAGAAAAGTAAACGCATAACAATACGCACATTAAAATTCAGTTCAAGAGAAGTCCGAGTCTGATGTCAGAAGATGTAACCAAAGAAAATAAAAAAAAGACAATAATACATAAATAACAACAGACTACTAGCAGTTAACTGACATGCCAGCTCCAGACATCAATTAAACTGATTGAAAGATTATGTCTTCATCATATGAATATCAAGCACAATCCTTCCCGTTAGGGGTTTAGTATCATACCATCATAACATATATGAGAAGAACATAACCCGTGTCATGCCAACAACTAGTTTTTAAATAAATGTGTTTAATTCCGATGCAAAGACCCTATAAGTGAATAAATATTAACGCCAAAATATGCAATCTTTAATGGCCTGACAACAGTATCGTAACTATATCCCTTCTTAATAAAAATAGTAAGACCTATTAAATTTATGAATTGTCAAGTTATAACATGTTTTGACATAAAAAAATCACTTTATTCGTTTATTATCATACATTGCTCTTTCTTATTGTACAAATTAAATAATACAGTTTGTGCTTCCTTACTTTCCTTTTAGGAGAACAAGGCTGAGACCAACCAATTTTTTGGGTAGAAGTATTCAAACAGGAATGGATAATTGACGAACAATTAGGTAAAAAAGAGTGGTACAAAGGAACTATTCTTTATGTATTGTCTGGGACTTATGGCAATTTGAATGCTGTTTATGAGATCAAATATGAAGGAGAGGATGTGGCTTATGAAATAGACCATTTAATTCAAGATTACCAGTCTGGATCTGTTGAGTTTTGTGATGTATAGCTTAACTTCAGTTTAGATAAACAGGTACATTACCTAGAAATTATTAATTATACAGTTTGTCATGTTTATGGGATAAACCTTAATGTTACAGCAAACCAAAAATAAAATAAAACAATGAATAAAAATAACTAGGCATCAAATCAAGGATTGATTTATTCATAAAGCAATATTCAATGAATGACAGAACAAATGAGTAGTGAATCAAATTATTATACATGTACATGTGTATATTATTGTAATTGCGCACATGTTGTAGTTTTTTAAAATCTTTTACAACAAAAATGTATCAGATTAATGTGTTTAATAGATATAAGAAAATGTGGTATGAGTGCCGATGAGACAACTCTCCATCCCAAAAAACAATTTATAAAAGTAAACCAATTATAGGTTGAAAGTATATGGCCTTCAACAGGAAGCATTGGCTCACACTGAACAGCAAGCTATAAAGGGCCCCAAAATGTTTAGTGTTAAAACATTTAAGCATATATGTGTAATTTGTCATTTAAAAAACTGTGTGACTTTGTACCTCTAATATAAGACCAGTACAAATACGATTCTATTTATGAAATGTATTTTTTCAATTAATGTAACATATAAACATTGTGTATATATACATATATATGTCATCATGAAATTAAAACAACCAAATAATTAAGGTGTCTTCAGTTCAATAATTACACATATAAAGGATAAAATAATCTTTACTTATTGAAAAATTTAAAGTTGTCTTTGACCATATTTTCAGTAAATTTGAACATATACATGTACATGCTTCATAAGATGAATCTGGTCAAACTCAACAGACAGTGATTTACTATAATGAATGGGCAGACTGAGCTGATTTTTAGTGAAAATGTAGACTTACTGTTAATAGATGAACGAACATGTTATATTAAGCTTTACAATAAGTTACAATGTGAAAGATTGCTAAAAATGTTATACAAGATAAAACAAATTGTCTTACCTCCAGTTTTATGTGAACATGATAATCAATAACTTACTAATTACAAAAGAAATTTTAACACAAAATTATAATGTTGTTAGCCATAGTAGTTCAAGAAAATGTAAAGTTTTAAGCTTCAAATAAATAACTTTGTTTTGTAAACATATACATAATATAGTTGGAGTGTATAACATGTATAATGTTCACTTTTACAGTCCCCCTTTTTCATTTTTGTGCAAAAGACAGTATTTTCCTAGTAAATGTAAATGAATTTATTATTAAATGTCTCTACACACATTAATTTATGCTGTAAATATGCCATAAATGAGCATACCATTGATTTATACTAAATGGTCTATTAATGTTATTTTCATTGAAGATGGGCTTCCATACTTTTGTAGGAAAGTAGTTCCATATTAAATATGTCCTCTAATTTTCTTTAACCTGGCAAACTTAATTCTCTTAATACATACTGTGGGGTGTATTTTAACATCAATAAACAGTAGCTTGTACTTCATTAGCTTTTCCTCTACCTTTTAAATATTTTTTTCAGGATTTTTAGAACTTGGAAAAACAGTAGAACTTTTTGAAGCATAGACTACTAATTTGAAGAATATTGGACCTGTGAACATTTCATGTTGTTTGTAAATGATATATTATGATTGTACTCATCACAAGGAAGATTTTGATGTATAATATGGTATGCTATATAAACTGAATATGTATTTATTGAACTTTGAAGTTGATCTTAAATTTGACTTTAGCGGAACCTTAACACACCACCCAAGTCAGAGATGCATCATACAATTTTCTTTGCATTCCTTCTAAATATACAATTCCTTGATGTCATGGGTGAAAATCTGATCTATTTGATGAAATAATTTCTACATTAACTGTACATGCAATATTTTTGTTAACAAATCCTTTGCATGTCAGTAAGGTAAATGGGTTATGTATGTGTTAATTGTGTAATTTCAGTAATTGTGTAGTTTGTGTCATCAGTGCAGTGCGTGATCACGTGATATTATTATTTGTAAACAAACGGGCCCGCGATGTAACACGTGTCGAAATTATCCATACAAGGTGCAATCAATCTTATATTTCACTATTTGATGATATTTCTGTGAGATTTAGTAGGTGTTTCAGATCAGAAGTCATAGATTCGTAGGCTCCTGATGTAACACGTGTCGGAATTATCCATACAAGGTGCAATCAATCTGACTTATATTTCACTATTTGATGATATTTCTGTGTGTGTTAGTAGGTGTTTCAGAACAGAAGTCATAGATTCATGGTACCATACTAGTGTTAGTGTTCCAGGGTTGTTGTCTATATCCAGAGGCAGATTTAGGGGGGGGGGGGGGTGCGGGTGGGTTGATTATATATATTATATAATTTCTGGATCCGCCACTGATATCGTAGCAGCTTCATAGGGCTACGTAGATTTTTGACTACTGAACGTGTAGCTAGCCTAGCTGCTAAATAGATAAAGTCATGATAGCAGCTTGGCTAGGCTAGCTACATGTTTAGTAGTAAAAAATCTTATGTAGCAGCTGCTTCTAAATTGAATGCAACCCCTGTTCAGTGGTTAAATACATGTACACGTAGTTGTGATTTTTTTTTATATGAAACTTCTTTGCCTTTGAAAACAGAGAATATAATCTTTTTGTTTTCAGAAATTCTGTTGAGCATTACAATTTGTATTGTGTTTAGGTGCTATACATGTTGACCTTTGTCTTTGAGAGCGGTTAGTAACAATCCAGGTTCTTAGAAATGTAGACAATGGACACAAATGTGAACCATGACGATATGGGTCACTGACATTTTTCTCCGATTTTAATATATCTGAATTATCTGTATTTGCAATATATTTCTATTTCATGTGCAATCATGAACAGATCTTCAATTTGTTCAAGTTAATACACAATAAATTGCTATTTTATATAATGATGATGAAGAATTTGTATGCTCACATAAAGATGGCGGAATGAATCTTGACATCATTGTATAATCTATCACGTGACATTATTATTTGTAAACGAAGTTGAAACAAACACGTGTAGGAAATTTTGATATCATTCTAAATATTGGATTATTTTTACAGATTTTGCAAAATATACTGGATTCCACCTATTTGTCTAACCAAATTGTTGTCTTGAACTAAAATGCCCATGAAACTTATTTAATAGACAATACATTATCATCATCCATATATATATATACATGTATGTAAAATAGCTATACTATAGTCTGCACGAAGCAACACATTGAAAATATAATTTCAACAAACATGTTCAATACTTGAAAAAAAAATACATGCAGTGAAATTTTTTGGTTAAAATACATATATATGGTTGCATATAATTTCTGTAATGCTTTTTCCCTTCATATTAGTATTACAAAATGTACTAGTCAGAGATTACTCTTACTTCCCAGGCCACGGTGCCAGCTTGTCTGGCAAAACAGCAAATGTACATGTACATGTATGACAGTATGTATACTATAAACTACATGTATTTTTAAAATGTACATGGTGTGGTCCAAAGTAAGGAGTATTATGTTTGTAACACTCAGAAACGAGATGTTGATCCCCTAAACCTGTCCTTTTTATAATTATGAATACTAAAATGCTCCATATGAAGCCAAAATGTCTTGCCTTTTAGTTTTATGAATGCTTAGTCATGTCCACTGTTTTAAATCGTGATTTGTAAATTAACCAACGAATTGACTTATTTTATGGCAGTCACCATTACACATTTACACTGACAGCTGCAATTGTAGGCGAGGAACCCTTTCCTTATATATAGATAGACCTCTTTAGAGTTAACGTTATGTATGCTGGAAAATTTACACGCCTTTATGACGTCATTTACTGGATAGAGGGGACCGCCTGTTTCACTGCACTATTAAAGATCATAAAGTGTCTTTGTGATCGTCAAGATAAACTAGAAATAATATTTGTTCTAAAAGGTTCTTAATAACATTTCTTTAATGACAGAAGTGCTGATTATCAATTATAAGAATTTAATTCACCAAAATGATTCGTGTAATAAAGCTTTTTTATGCCCCTTCCATAGCAGAGGGGGCATTAAGTTTTAAACTTGTCTGTCTGTACGTACGTCCCAAAAATTGGTTTCTGTTCTCTTACTTAAGTTTGCCTCAACCAAATGTTATCAAACTTATAAACAATGATTATTACCACAAAACACAGATCAAGTTTGAATTTTGGTGGCGTCACTTTTACCGTTCTAAACTTATGCCCCTTTACAAATTTAAAAATTGCTAAATTTTTTGTTTCTGTTCTCTAACATTAATTTGCCTCAACCTAATGTTATCAAACTTATACACAATGCTTATTACCGCAAAGCACAGATCAAGTTTTAATCTTAATGGCGTCACTTTAACTGATCAAGAGATCTGCCCCTTTATAAGTGGAAAAATTGCAAACATTTTTAGGTTCCATTCTCTAACGAGCTTGCTTCATACAAATGTTATCAAACTTTACACAATGCTTATTACCACAAAATACAGATCAATTTAGAATTTGTTAGCGTCACTCTATCCGTTCTAGAGTTATGCCTCTTTATAAATGGAAAAATTACAAAATTTTTAGTTTCCGTTCTTTAACTTAAGTTATCCTAAACCAAATGTTATCAAACTTATACACAATGCTTATTACCACAAAACACAGATCAAGTTTTAATTTTGATGGCGTCACTTTAACTGATCTAGAGTTCTGCCTCTTTATAAATGGAAAAATTGCAAAATTTTTAGTTTCTGTTCTCTAACTTAAGTTAGCCGCAACCAAATGTTATCAAACTCCTAATGCTTATTTCCACAAAATACAGATCATGTTGGAATTTTGGTGGGGTCACTGTAACCATTCTCGAGTTATGCCCTTTGTAAATGGAAAGAAAATGCAAAATTTTTAGTTTCAGTTCTGTAACTTAAGTTTGCCCCAAACATTATGAAACCTTTACGCAATACTTATTACCACAAAACTTAGATCTGACATGTACAAATTTGGGTAGCATCACTTTTATCGTTCTGGAGTTATGTTCCTTTATAATGTTGTATGCAGTGGGGGCATCATCTGTGTCCATGGGGACACATTCTCCATTTA